AATATGTGTACATACTTTTCAGAGTCCTGGTGTGGTGCTGTAGTATAAGTACTGGATTGGTACCCACTTAGTTGGCAGTTCAAATCCTCCATTCACTCCTTGGTTGCTATGAGTTGGAACTGACTTGACGGTACATAACAACAACATCTGTATATGTGGACTCCTGGTATGGTGTTGTTGGATCAACACTGGACTGTGAACCATAAAGCTGACAGTTCAAACCCACCAGCTGCTCCTGGGAAACCCTATACAGGGTCACTATGAGCTGGAACTGACTCAGCAGCACATAGCAACAAGAGTATTTTCAGAAGGAGGCGGGATACCTTGAAAGTCGTTCTTCTACTTTAGTTAGTCGACATATATTTCCAAAGTTAGTGGCACGTGCTGGTGTGTGTAGTGTGTTGGCATTTCTTTGAGAAGGCCAGTGCTTTTCAGAGCAAGGCTCACATCTTTCAGTTACGATCATACCATTTCAGACAGATGCTTAGAAATATTTCTGTTTTCCTCTTGATTTGCTTGTGACCTTAAGATGTGCATCATAACTATGGGCCTCACTTGCAAGTTTAATGTTCAGGAAATTCAAATTTGTTAAAACTAAGAGGCTTAATATTAATGTTGTGTGTTGTCTGACTACAGCTCATAACAGTCCTATTGCTGTTGTTCTCGATAGTGACTCTGTTAGGGTTTCCGAGGAGCCGCTGGTGAGTTTGAACCACCGACCTTGCAGTCCAATATTTATCCTACAATGACAAACCAGGACTCTATAATAACGCTAGTAGCGGCCCTATAGGACAACATAGAACTTCCCCATAGGGTTTCCTAATCTTTATTATTCAACTGCTGCTGAGTTCTAGTCACCAAATTTTTGGTTAGCTGTCATAGCTTAACCACTATGCCTAACTTTATACAAAAAATGTAATGTTAATGGGAGGGGGTGGGAGGGGGTCACTAGATTTTTTTTTTTTTTAATTTAAGACAAAGCACATTCAGCATAGCCAGTTATTTTATTTTTAAAATTCTGAAGACCCAAATGTTTTAAAGATTTGCTTCCGTAAAACATCTTTGCTTCAGATCAAAAGCTGGGTATAAACCACACAGATTTGACTTTTGTTTAGAGGAAATGTTTACTTGAGAACTGACCCTTATTTGGGAGAGCAAAAGGGAAAATAAAACAGAAGTTTAAATTACCTCCGGGTTGCACAGTGCTGACATTTCTTTAATAGAAAGGGTTTAGTAGAGCTAAAGATCTGAGTAGTTGTATACACAATAAAGATAGGAGCTTCTCTTGGGCTAATCTTTAGTTTCCAGAATATCAGTGAAAATCAGAAAAGTCTTTAAAGGTCCAAGATGTAAAGTGCACTTTTTCATAAATCTTGTAAGACAGAGAGTAATTGGGAGAAGCTTTCTCTCACTATTGAGTTGTAGAGCATCAGCCATTTGGTTCATGCACATACAACTCTTCTGGAAAAGTTACTATGTTGGACTGCACTCGTGGGTGATGTGGTTTATCAGAATGGAATTGACAGCAAGGATGTAAAGAAATGGGAACGTTCTGAACCCCTCAGTCCATGTCTAAGCCGTCACTCAAGTGCACTTTTTTCATGGGGGGGGGGGTGGACTTTTTTTAACCTGTTAATTTACTTGTGTTTGAGTCTCAGTAAGTTGCTGGGTTCTAGCCATCATCTGCTTTTTTAAAAAGGGAGAGAAAGGCTGGTCCATGCAGGCATGATGATGGCTACAGGCAAAGACACTGGCTGAAAGAAAGAAGGTGAACCAAACAGGTAAATAACACTAGAGGTGTGTACGTGACTATGTGTACAAAATACTATAGTCAAATTTCTCTCAAATTTTTTTTTTATCATGATCGATAGAAAACAGATTTTACACCAAAATCCAGTATACCCACACTCATACACACCCTTCACTAAACTCCTGTCTTTACGAGCCATTGTGCAATAAGACATTTTCTATTCTGAGCCATACCATTCCATTCTCATTCATTTATTTTATAATGCTTGTAAAAATGACTATTCTAATTCATCCATAACGTACTGCTGGTTCACGGCTTGCATTGGAAAACTGCTGAAGGAGAAAGATCTAAGGACTTGAAAAACAAAACCCTGCCTTCTAGGAGTTCATCTTCTGATTGGGACATTAAGGCATGGCCTCCAACTGCTGCAAACTGAAGTAATAAGGGAAGTAAGAATATATCCCTGAGTTCCTCAAAGCGTCCCATTGGTGTGGAGCTGGGCTCATGTACTTTTTTAAGCTGCTCAGGTGAAACCATTAGCCTCTCCCCATCCAGAGCAAAGAACAGTGAAGAAAATTAAAGATTCAAGGAAACATTAATCCAAACAACTAACCTGAGATCAGCCTCTACAATCCTAAAATCAGAAGAACTAGATGGTGCCCAGCTACCATAACTGAGTACTCTGAAAGGGATTGCAATTAAAGTTCCTAAACATTGTGGGAGAAAATTGTGGAACAAAACTCAAAATCATTTAAAAAACAACAACAAACAACTAGACTCCCTGGTCTGATAGAGACTATGAAGCCTCAACTGAATTCATCCCTGTGCTCAACTTTCAGTCAAATAATAGGCCTACAAAGTGAACGTTATCATCAAATGGTATCATCAAATAACGAATCCTGGTGTAGCGCTGTGGGTTAATGCGCTAGACTGCTAAATCAGTTTGAACCGCAAGGTTGGCAGTTCAAGCTCACCAGCTGCTCCTTGGAAACACTATGAGTGGGTACGGACTCCACAGCACTTAACATTTGAGATCAAAAGGGCAGCTTTCATCCAGGAATAAACTTCAGAAGGATTCCAGGTTGTGGCACTGTAGGATAAGCACTGGACTGCTAACCACAACGCTGGCCATTCAAACCCACCAGCCACTCCTCGGAATCAGGATGCACTGGAACCAACTAGACAGCATTAACAACTTTCCTCTGAAGACAGGAAGGGACTAGGAAAGAAGTACAAATAGGCCTGGGAAACACATAAGAAAGTGGAAAGGATACCAAGACATTGTGAGGATCGTAATCAATGTCATGAAACAAAGTGTGTATGAATTGTTGAATGGGAAACCAACTAGATCTGTGGATTTTCACTCAAGCCACAATAGAAGATTTAAGAAAGGGGGGTGGGGGGGTGGATGCTCCCCAGCTGTTGACAGCTCAAGTCTGGAAACTCCCTTCTTTGTGTTCATTCCTGACTATCCCTAAATTCAAATCACAACGTTAATGACCCTGAAATGCCCTGTTTGACTCAGGTGAAGAACTCTAAATATTCATTGTTGTTGGTGCTATGTGCTGTGGAGTCGGTTCCAACTCATCGCGATCCTGTATAGTGTTTTCAAGAAGCAGCTGGTGAGTTTGAACCACAGATCTTGGTTCAAACTGACTTGATGATTGAGTGCTTATCCTACACAGCGCCACACCAGGACTCCAAATATTCATTGTTGTTGTTGTTATGTGCCTGGAGTCGGAACCGACCCATAGCGACCCTGCACAGGGTTTCCGAGGGTGTAAATCTTTACGGGAGTAGAAAGCCTCATCTTTCTCCCGCGGAGCAGCTGGTAGTTTCGAACTGCTGACCTTGCGGTTCACAGCCTGAGTCGTAACCACTACGCTACCAGAGTCTCTCATAAACGATTATTGAATTAAAGGTGTGTGGAGGGAGAGGGGGAATATAGGCATTTGAAACCTGTTCTCCAAAACCCAGTTGCTTGCTCCCTTAATTAAACACCTTTCATTCCCAAGACACTGGGGATCTTAAACTGAAAGTCTGTAACATTCTTTACAAACTCTGCAGTGAGATTTTACGTTGGGGAGAGGAGGCGATTCTGACACTCCAACCACAAAGTGATGACAGGAAGAAGTCTGAACGGTAGCTCCAGAATGAGGCACCCACTGCCCTGAGAAATATTGGCTCCTTGTCATGGCACAGACTCTCCACAGGGCTCTGAGACACACAGATACCAAAGTCAAAGCTGTAAGGATCCCAAGGCCCAGATCCCATTCCACCACCCTTCTTCCTGTTTATAGATCCCGCTCCTGTAACTCCAACTACCAAAGAGAAACAGACGTTTCAGAAATATGTCAACACATGACATAACTTGAAAAAGCTGGCTGCTCATTGGCGCGAGTTACAACTTGCTGGGATAGTACAGGAAAACCGGCTCATGTTAATTACTTTTCTTTTACTATGCCATGCCGACCTTTTCAGGCCCCAGCAAAGATCAGGTTACTAAGAACTAGGTAGCCTCGGTAGTGAAAGCAAAACTGCGTGGGCGGCTAGCGACAGGCGGGGCAAGAAGAGAGCCGATCGACTCCGAAGCAACTGCCTATTCGGATTCACAATAATCCGGGTGGCTCCTTCCTCGCACAGGCGCAGGAAGGGGAAGCCTTGGCACCTCCTCGCAGTCTACACCAATCGCTCAGTGGGCTCGCCGAGGGGCCTCCTCAGCACCAAGCCGGTGCCCTCGGGTCTACCAAGGGCGCGCCACCTTTGTCTGCGTTTCCCTAACAGGATGGGCAACGCCTGAATGCAAAAAAGGCTCGCCCTGGTGGGAGGCGCAGACGCGGCTGCCCACTCCCGGGTTCTCAGCCCCAACGCTGGGCCCAGGAAGCCGAGGCAGCCGCCTGAAACCCCCCACTTCCACTGAGCGCACGCAGCGCGCACGCAAGTCTCAGCCCCGGCTACTTCCCTAGGACTGACCGCCCCAGAGCGAAGGGGCCTGGAGACACGCGCGCTTGGGGCGCAGTGGCAGGGCGCACCCGGCCCTCCGGGAACCACACCGCGGCCGCCTGGCGAGGCACGGCTCGCCTTCTCTCGCACCGAGGCGGGTTCCCGACTTTGGACAGCACAGGCGATGTACCCCCGGCGAGGCCAGATCTCAGACTGGCCACAGCGTCAGGGAAGACACGACAACGAACCAGACAGCCTGCCCCACACCCAGCCTCTGCCTGCCCCGCGTGGCGCGGCCCTCTCTCACCTGCCTGCACCGTGTCCGAGAGGTCGTGCCCGGAGACGGCGGTCCTTGGAAATTCCTTCAATTTTCTGGCGCTGAGGTTCAGTCCCCCGGAGTTTGCCGCCTCCTCCAGCGCGCGCTCCAAACCCCGGTTCAAGGGCAGGTTGAAACCCCCGCCACCGCCCCCTCCTCCGGCCCCGCTGCTTGCTGTGGCTCCTCCGTGGTGGTGATGGTGGTGGTGGTGGGGATGATGATGTGGGTGCAGAGTAGACCCCGAGAGGGCAGGGACGAAAGGTTGGGGTTCGCTTCCTGGCGTCGCCATCTTCTCCTGGGCCCCCCCCAAGCCGCCCAGTCACTTCTGCTGGGGGTCAAGGCTTTCCCCCAGCGGAAGGACGGCAGCCCGGTTGAATCCCTACAATGCTCCACTAAGAGACGCTGGAAGAAGGAAAGAAAGGTGTGGGGAGGAGCGCAGGAATGGAGAGGCGGCAGTGGCAGCTGGTCTTGAAGGTTTCCTGTCGCCGGCAAGCTGAGGACTGCAGCGGCGGCGGCAGCGCGCATGTGTCTCCTCCCGCCCCAGCTCCCTCCTCTCGGGCGCTCCCCCCTCCTCCGCCGCCTACTCTTCTCTGCTCCCTCCCACCGCGCTATCAGCCAGCCTGATCCTTCCTCCGCTGCTACTGCGCTGAGCTTGGCTGGGGAAACCGGGTCTTGGGGGGCTGGCCGCCTGCACAGACGCGGCTTTCAGTTAAGCGCTGCCATTCTCTGTGCTTCTTTTTTTTTTTTTTTTTTGCTCCTGGAACCAGAGGTTTTGGAGGCGTCTGAGAAAAGGGCAGTAAGGCCAGGTGTGGGATTTGAAAGACCATGAGTTCACAGCGAGGTGAGAATACCTCAATACCGCTTGTCATGCCGGCTACCTGACCCAGGAGTTCTCACGAGGCCATTTTTTCCACCACTGTGGGTCAGCCCAAGAGATGCCCCTCATTTGGAAAAAGATGTAATAGTAAATAAACAGCTGACATTCGGTTGCCCGCACTGAGCAAGGCGCTGGTATGAGAGATCCCTGTAGGTTGCCTTATTAACCCAGGAACCCCTTAAGCAGCGGGAGAGCTGTCTGCTTGTCCCCCTACCTCACCCAGTAGACAGAGGAAGTTAAGAAACTTGTCTCAGGTCACCCGCACAGTCAGGGGTGGAGCTGGATCTGAGCTTGTAGCAAGCCTTAACACCCTAGAGTTTGTCCTCCTTCCTGTATACCCCAAGGCTTCACTCCAGCCTGAATAGACAGTAGGGTAGAGCAGAGTATTTGCTGAGTGACGCAGGAAGTAAGAGCTTTTTAAAATGTGGGTCATTTTTATGATGGACAAAATGCATTGTCATAGGAAGGAGAGGGGCTGATGGCTACTTTGAGTGGTGGGGGAAGAAGTTAGAAAGCCAGTGACCCAAACACCCCAATAATCAGTCAGCGCTTCCGTTGTACATCTCTCTGTACTTCACATGAGTCGTTCTGGGCTTCTTTTTGCTCCTGTGGGACATGGAAACTTACATATTGGCTTGCTAGGGAATTCATTTTCTATCATTTGGACCCAGCAGTGGATGCTCAAGCCAAGGCTGGCACATGAGGGAGCTGTTGTTGTTAAGTCGGCTCCGAACCTTAGCGACCCTGTTTTGGGTTTCCGAGGAGCAGCTGGTGAGTTTGAACCGCAGACCTTGCAGTTCAAACCGACCTTGTGGTCCTGTGCTTATCCTACAGCGCCACACCAGGAGACCCGGTGGGGGTGGGGTAGGAAATTTGACACCCTAAGGGCTGACCAACTGAAAGATGGATTAAACTCCACTCCTTCCATAAATTTCAGCTCCAAGTCTGGGGAGTTGAGTGATCACTATAAGACTAGTTCTCGTGTGGTGCTGTGGGTTAATGCACCAGACTGCAAAGCCCCGGTTGAACTGCAAGGTCGGCGGTTCAAGCTCACCAGCTGCTCCTCGGAAACCTTATACAGAATCGCTATGGGTTGGAACCGACTCAACGGCACTTAACAACAACAACAATAAGGACTTAGCTTTGGGAATCGAGTTGGAGGTCAAGTATGAAAATAACACAATCCTTGGAGTAGGCAGTCTTTCTTAAGAGGGAGTGCAGACATGTAAAGACCTAGGCACAAGCTGGAGCTTGTGGCTTCATGGACACAACATTGTATCATGATCTGTGTCACTTGCATTAACTACATGTAGTTACTAGTTGCCTTTGAGTTAGGGTCCACTCATAGGGACTTTACGTACAACTGAACAAACTTTGCAGTTTTGTTTCATATCCTCAGGTTCCAATTCATTGTTGTGACTATTCTCACTGAGAATAGTCTTTGCTAGCCTTTTGCTTCATTAAACATGATGCGCCCTCCATCAACTGATCCCTTTTGATGATATGTTAGACAGTGTTGGACAAGTTAGAGCCAGTTAGACAGTATCGGATCACTGGACCTTTCTTCCCAGTCTGTCTTGGACTAGAAGCTCTCCTGAAGCCTGTCCAACATAGGTGGCCCTAATAGTATTGGAAATGCCAGTGTCACAGCTTCCAGCACCATAGCACCACCAAAGTCACCACAGTACAAACAGATTCACAGACTGTGGTAGAAGGGCTGCATTTGTTCATCAGTGCCATCATGTCAGTTCCGACACATAGCGACCCTGTGTAGGGCTTCTGAGGAGCCACTGCTGAGTTTGAACCACTGACCTTGTAGTTTGCAGTCCAGTTCTTATCCGATAGCAACAGTTTTCAGCATCACAGCAACATGCAAATCATTACAGTACAACAAAGAGTGGTGGAAGTTTAACAGAGTAGCCCTTAATTCTTATGGGAATCTTGGCAGAGATCAAAATGTTCTAATCAGATCAGAGGAGACAAGCGCCATCTGCTGGTTGTTGTTAGGTGCCATGGGGTGGGTTCCAACTCTACACAATAGGAAGCTACTGCCAGGTCCAGTGCTAACCTCACAATCACTCCTAAGCTTGAGCCCATTGCTGCTGCCACTGTGCCAGTCCATCTCGTTGGGGGTCTTCCTCTTTTTTGCTGACCCTCCACTTTACCAAGCATGAAGTCCTTCAGGACTGGTCCCCTCTGAAATATGTCTGAAGTATCAGAGCAAAGTACTAGAGAAGTCTGGCCATCCTGGCTTTTAAGGAGCATTCTGGCTGTACTTCTTCTATCACAGATTTGTTTGTTCTTCTGGCATTCCATGGTCTTTTCAAAATTCTTTGCCAACACCGTAATTCAAATGCATCGAATCTCCAACAGTCTTCCTCACATTCATATGAGGCGATTGAAAATACCAAGGTTTAGCTCAGACGCACTTTAGTCCTCAAACAGACATCTTTAGCATAGCTTCCAGCATCGTAGCTGCACACAAGCCACCAAAGTATAACAAACTAACAGACGAATGGTGGGCATAATGAACATCAATAATTAATTAAGCATTGTGTAATAGACCAATCTTGCTCATTTTGAAAAATTCAAGAGTCTTGACAAGCCATTTTCCCTTGCTATCTTGTTTCTTCACCATTTCTTCAATATACAGTGTTGAAGGACTGTTTTTTGTTTAATTAGTATTGTTATATATACAAGGGGACTTCAAATAGTTCATTGAAAAATCCCATTATCTTTCAATTGCATTTTTCCATGAACTTTTTGAAATCCCCTCATCTATAACAACATTTACCAACTTAACATTTTTCATATGTACAATTGCGTGAGAACAGTTCATTGATCACGTTGTACAACCATTTCTAATATCTGTTGGGGATCTCTGTTTTGTCCAATTGTTGAGAAAGGTGAGGGAGGGAAATAGAAATATATTCAGCTTAAATTTTTGGTTATTAAGAGAAAAGTGATCAACTTGGTCAAAAAACAAAACTATTTAAGAACTGTATCTAATTATCCCTGCACTCAGAACACGCACCAGATCATAAACCTTTCCACATTTAAAACCCAGCTAACTCTTTGGTTCTTGCTTTAAAAAGTGAAGCTTATAAGAACTAATTAAGAATGGTAAATAGGCTTTGGGGATGCTCCTCAGAGCAATACCGTTTCTCTGAAAACCACCCAGCAGTTTCTCTTGGTGGAAACCCACAGCATTGCTAAACTGATAGACCTGGTCAGATGTGTTTGTCCTTTTTGGTCCTGACTGCCCCCTCCAAACCACAACCAAACCTACACCATGTGAGTCAGTTCAGACTCACTGGGACCATATAGGGCAGAGTAGAACTGCACCATGGGGTTTCTTAAGCGGACCTCTTTGCAGGAGCAGATTGTCAGGTATTCCCCCAACTCAGAGCAGCTAGTGGGTTCAAACTACAAACCTTTCGGTTAGCAGCCTAGCCTCTGTACCACCAGGGATCCTTATTTGCCTGTTTGGTGGTTATGTACCATGGAGTCAGTTCCGACTCATAGCGACCCTGTATAGGGTTTCCACAGGGTTTCTGTGGCTATAAATCTTTACGGGAGCAGAAAGCCTCATCATTCTCCTATGGAACAGCTGGTAGTTTCGAACTGCTGACCTTGAGATTCGCAGCCAGATTCATAACCACTATGCTACCAGAGCTCCTTATTTGCCTGTTTAGTAACGTTTTAAAATCTTTTTTCATTGTAATCTTTTTTTCCCCTGATCTGCATTTCCCTGAGATAAGTAACTCACACTACTTCGACTTTGCATTCTTATCTCTGCAGACAGCTCATAAACTGTCCTGAAGCTTGCTTGAAAAGACAGAGGGTTTCCTGGGTCCCCTCGCTCTGTCTCTGACATTGGATGTAATTGTTGGCGCTCTGTCTGCTCCATCACATCTCCAGCACCCAACATTGTCTTGGACATAGGAGTGACTCAGTGCATGTTTGCACAGTGCTAAAGCTCTGTTATTTATTCCTTCCATTCCCCTTGCATCATCCACATCCAAGCACTCCTTATATCACCCAGGTCACTGGGACAATATTCTGCCTTGTTTCTTTGTTTCCAGTTCATCCTGCGCACTTGATACCTCTTAAATCTTTCTGGAGACTCACCCGTGTTTCCTTATTGACTACTGCTCCAATATTAATCTCCTCAATTGCCTTTTTAAAATTGTAATTTATTAGAGACTGGTGAAACCCTTGGTCACACTTCAGTTCTGGAACTAAACTCACATCCACGGCTTAATTTTCAGCCAGACAATAGGTAAGTATATAGTAGGGGACTGGTGACATACTCCTGGTGTGGAGCTGTAGGCTCAGCACCCGACGGACGGTGAACCACAAAGTCGGCTGTTCAAACCCATCAGCTGCTCCTTGGAAACCTTATACAGGGA